AATATTATTTTGAAGCCCTAGAAAAAACTCAAAAGCCTAAAATAGAAAAACAATAACTTTTCGGTCAATTTTCCTCAAATGTTTTCATTCTACATATTTCTCTCAAAAAACATTTACCTACATATAATATTAGGAAATTGCCTATAAATTTGAAAACCCATTAATTGTGTAAATTCTCTTGTTTAAAACATAAAACAAAACGTAAAATTATACATAAATGTTGATTAAAAACACAGTTTAACCGACATCCTACCAGGAGCAGATAAAAATTACAAGACTATAGATTTTAAAGAGGCTGAAAACTGGAACTTTGAAGATTCCCAAATCTTTAAAGTCTCTAAAGAATTTAGAGAAAACTTGAAAGACTTGATGATTCAAAGATTTAAAGATTCCAAAGAGTTTAAATCTTAGACTTGAAAGATTTTTGACACAATTTTACAATCCCCAGGAACGATCCTATGGACATCTTTTTTTCGTCTTCAGATGTTCAGATGTAGTGCAGACATGAAAAGACGTCTTTATTAAGACTTTGTGTGATAGATCTAGCTTTAGGATCTTATAAAACAACGAAAAAAACCCTTTCATGTCTCAAAATATTACTGGTACAAACTTCTTTTTTATTGGAAATCAGTCACAAAAGCCCAAAAAGTCTGTTCTTACAAAAATCACAAACCTTCCATTGGTTGAAAACAGTCAGGAAACTGATTTGCACCAATCAAAATAACGCCCTTGATTGGTTTGTGATTTTTGTGAGAACAGGCTTAAAGATTCCAATCAAAATTGCAAACATTATAATAATAATAGCACAATTACTGGTACTGCTTTGCTTAGTATGGCCCTGACCACCCAAACTTCTTGGGGAATATTAAAATATATTGGAAATACACAAAGGTGCTATAAGTATGATGTGGTTAGAGTACATTCTAAGCTAAGCTCTGATTATTTTTAACGGCTGTCAAATGAGAGCAAAAGTACCGGCACTAAATTATTCTCAGATTTGAAGCCGAAATTAACATAGCTCCTTTGTAGAGCTTTGCATCGCCTTTCAATCGCATGTACATTATAATATGTACTTCGATATATTCCCTTAGTCATATGTATGTATTCTTATGTATTCCTCTGTACTCCATGTATTCAATGTACAAATCTGGCTAGTGGTTTGCCCCTCGTGGATTTCTGATGTTTGTTGAAACAAAATTGTGTTAAATGAAGTCGAATTTCGAGGAAAATTGGCTGAGCATTTTTTGTTCTTAACCCGGTTTGAGTTTGAACATTTTTCAAAAATTTTAATTCCCAATACACACACATTTATTATTTTAGATATTGTTCCAAAAAACCTTCTATCCATTGAAAATGCCGACGACATTAGGCTATTTCCCCAAGAAGAAAACCATTGGTTCGCTGTATCCTTGGAAAATAAAACAAATCTGAAGATTTATCAGTATCTGGTAATAAAATACTATTGTAGAGTCTTATATCATATTATCAAACCCCTATTTTTCAGAATGAAACCTTCAATAAACTTCTCCATTACGAAACCCCGTACACCACAAACCTAGCTGTCCTTCCTATGGACGAAATAACATTTATAGTTATCGGAGTGAATGATCTTATTAAAGTTCTAGAATTCGATTTCAAAGCAAAAACAATTAAAGTTCTACAAACAATTAGAACAAATCAACCCAAACATGTTGTAATATGGTAAACCTTTAAACAACATTGTTGTAAATTTTATGAAAAATATTATCATTTTCAGGGAAGAAGGTGCAACTGCATATTTATCCATTACAGAAACTGTTCTTACCAAAAGCAACATTAAAATATTCAAGTGGTTAGGCAGGCATTTTGATCATATACAAGATATTCCTGTAGCAAACATCAAAAAAACAGTCCCATTTAATATTCATGGCTCCACTTTTTTAGCCTCAGTTGATAACCAACGGGAATCAAAATCTTATTCTGAAATATTCAAATTCAATATTCATTCCATGCAATTTGAATTATTCCAACGCTTATTAACCAACGGTTGTACTGACATTAAGTTTTTCACTTCTAAGAATCATTACTTTTTAGTTGTAGTACATTCAACTAATGAAGGTAAGTAAGTTACTGAATAAGTTCGGCGATCAATGAAAACATTTTTTTTTAGGATCTGTATCAGTTATTTACAAATACGAAGATAATTATTTTATACCTTTTCAAACCTTGAAAACTGGTGCAATTGAATGGCAACCCATAGAGGTAAGTACTTACTGTAGCAAAACGCCCCAAGTACTCTATGTAATTAGTTAGATGGTAAATGGCGAGCGGTATTATTGATGGTGTTTATTTCCTTGGAGCTGCTATCTATAAATTGGGGAAGGGTCTATTTGCAAAAGACAGAAACAAACTATTGAGGTTTACTAAATTATAGTTTATTATACATAAAATGAAAAATTTTTAATCAGCAAAATATCTTCCAATTCTGACAGCCTCATCTATTTTTCTTAATTCAATTACTTCACATCCGTTCAAAGGTTATTATTACGGACCACTGAAATATCCATACAAATAAATAAACGCCCTATTCCTACTATTCCTAATAACTTATAAGTTTATTCATTTCAACACTTCCGATTCATTCCTATCAAACCTTCACCTATTTCTATAAATTCTTTAAAATTTCTAAGTCCTTTACTGACTGCTTATGAAAAATCCAAAATAATTACCTATTTGTTTATTAATATAGGTATTACTAACTTATTCTTATGAAACCTTACAATAATTTCTACATGAAATTTAAAACCGTAATTCAAAATTCATTTCATGAACAATAAGTTTCCTTTAACAACTTTCCAATATTTTAAGACAACAATTCTATTTCATGAACATCAAGTTTCTTTTAAAAATTCCTTATTCTATTTAATAGTTTATTTAATCAGAACAAATTCTATTTTCGGATTCCTAGCCTAGCTAATAAACCCAACTGTTTAATTCATAATTCCTACTCAAAATTGTATATTGTTAAGTGCATTGAAAATTCGCTTCATATTTTCTTTGCACAATTAAATTAGAATGTCATTATATCTGAAGGCAATTAAAGTTATGCAATAATGTTCCATGGTCAAAACACTCGAGTTATTAATATTTATGCAATAAAGTTCCAAAGTTAATTATAAAGTCAAAAAGTTTTACTAGTAAAAGTCACTCAAGTTTTTAGGCATTAAAAGTCATTGTTAATTCACTTCTTATCATTCAGAACCATTGTTAAAAGTCAGAAAAACATTAAAGTACTTACATTTGAATAATTGTCACTCGATTTAATACTTATTTAATTACTCAAAAATTCTCTAGAGCCCGCACATAAGTTGAACGAATTTCAAATGTTATTTCTTTCACAATTTTCCGTACTTTTCTAAGTTAAATCGAACGCGTTTTCTCCCGAGGCCTTAATAAGATCTTTTCGCGAATTTCAACCTGACTGACTCATTAAGTACTGTAGACTTTAACTCAACTGGACTGGACTGCTAACAACTGGCAACTCAACTGACAACTGCCTCCCACTTCTAAAACCGCGGTATTTATATTTAATCGATCCCCCCAAATTTCTCTGTCCATGACAATTAAGATGTTGCAATTTCTTTGAAATTTTTATCATTTTTTAGTTTAAAAATCGAATAATTATGTCGCAATATCCTGATTTATCGAGGTCAATACATTGATTCAAGAATGCCATAATTCATTCGATTTAATTATTATGGCCTCGTTAAAAAAAAGTTCATTGATCGGATGTTAGGATGACATCACGCTGAAGGAAATAATCTAATTTCGAATGTATTTGGGTTCACATTAATTTGTTCCATTTTTAATTTATCGATGCTGATTTGGAAATACCGGAAATTCAGTTTTTGATTTTTTGATATTATTTAATTTCTACAGTAAAGACATTCAGCTGTATGCAACATCCTCTTTTAACTTAAAATTGTTTTTTAAAACTGGTACCTTTAAAAATTTCCATTGCTTAGAATACACATTTTTAAAAGTGACCAGTTTTAAAAAGCGCTTTTAAGCTAAAAGAGGATGTTGCATACAGCTGTTAGTGATTTACGGGTCTATTTTACCGATCATTGTATGTATGTATGTATGATGTATGTGTTGGAGGTGTCAGTTGCACTGCGACCAAGGTTAATCTATTGTACCCCTCCTTCTGGTGCTAAGTTTCGGGTTTCCTGCTTAAAGCAGCCCCTCTAGTCCTATACCGATTATTACATTACCATTATTTGAATTTATAAAATTTCAATATTTTTTTCAGGACTTGAAAGGCAATACGGCACTTATCTCAATATCGGAAAATATTTTGAAAGGTTTCCAATACAATCAATGGCATTTTGTTGAAACTGATATTATTACAGCTATAAATGATTTTGAAGATCTAAAAACTATTCATACTTACAATAATTTCAATGGAGAACAAATTTTAGGTAAGCATTTAAAAATTATAATTCTTGATACAATAATATTGTTTTAGTTATTGCTTGTGGCAATTGCCATGACGCAACCAACGTTTTCAAAGTGAATTTCACCAATTTTAATGCCATCAAAGATCTGTATTTTCAAATATCATCTTGGTGTACCGACGCCCTCAAAGAATTTGAAGAACCTATAGTAGGCAGAACGTTAAGAGGAGATTTAAACGAAGTAGGTATATTTGGTTCAAATACTTAAATTGCATACATTCTTTTTAGCAAATACCAGACGAAGAAGACCAAAAACGTCAAGTTTTAGCAGCCTTAAGTCAATCCAAAGAGACTCTTTTTAAAATTGAACAAAATTTGTTGCCTTCAGACGAAGAACTTGTTTTTGAAGAAGATTTTGAAGCAGACAATATAATTTTTAATAATTCTGCAACATTTAATTCTCTTAAAGCAGCTTCAATTAATGCTGTAAACATTGATAATTTATTTGCTAATGTTTTAAACATTCAGAAAGGCTTTACTTTAGAAGATCCTTTGGAGTTCCAGATGCTGTCAGTACAAAACTCTTTAGAACCTAAAATAATCAACAATGTGCCTTTGAATAATGACACAACAATTGAAAAATTAACGGTTAATGGTTCTATAACATTTAAACAAAATTTAAACGTGAAAAACTCAATAAACAATATTAAAATATCCAATAAAACATTATTGTTAAAAAGTGGCAATCAAAATTTCGCAGGCAATTTAACATTACCAAACTTAAAAGCCCAAAATTTGAATACAAATCAAATAACTAAGCTGAAAACCCTCAAAGTCAAAGACTTGGTAATTGGTGGTTACTTAAACAGGGTCAGTATTCCAGTTTTAGTTAAACGAGCTTTGAAAAAATCTGGCAATCAAATTATGGAAAAACCATTCAGTTGCGATGCTTTAGAAGTCGATAGTTTTAATGTCGATGGTGTCATTTCTGGAAAAAAAGTGCCCGACGATTTTGTAATGATAAATTCGGGAGAATATGTAGTTGGCCAGGATGTTCAGTTTTTAAAAGGTTTGCTTTTGTATACAGGGATAAACTGACACATTTTGCAAGTGAATATTTCTAAAACGAGAAAAGATAACCGAGGCGCAGTTTTTTTTTGTTCGATAAAAAGACCGTACTTGATAAATCCTGAAAGTTTGATGTCCCTCTGATTGCTTGAAGTATTTTTCAGAAGCTTATTCCAAAAATGATTTGATAGAAGTTTTAAATGATTTTTTTGCATCTAAGTGATCAAAAATTCATAATTCCATTTCTAAGCCTGAGATCCACTCGCGGTTTGTTTCGTTTGATAAAAAAACCCAACTCAATAAATCCTGAAAGAATGAAGATGAAATCCGTCTGATTGCTTCAAGTATTTTTCAAAAGTTTTCAAAGACGATTTGATAGAAATTTCACTTGATTTTTCTGCATCTTTGTGAGAAAAATAGTCATACTTTATTCAGGTTAGATGGTAAATTGCGAGCGACCGTATTTGATGGTAATTATTTCCCTGGGAAGCTACTTTAAAAATAAAATTGTGGGGCGGGTCTATTTGCAAGTGAGAGAAACCACTGTAGTGAGGTTTGCCATTAATAAATTTATTTGAGAAAATAAACAGAGCTTTTCCAAATTACAATGTCACAATTCTATACCCTAAGACTGATCGTAAACTTCTTAAACCGTTTTTATATTTTTCGTTCCCCCCAAAAATTCCGGGTCATGTCTATTCATTGACTGTTCTTCTTTTCTGAGAAATATAATTATTTGTTTAAAACCGAATACCTATGTCGCAGTTTCCTGGATTATCGGGGTCAACAGATTTGGTATAAGAATCTGAGAACAAACACATCAAAGGATGTCGAACTCGTGTCGGCCGTAAACAATGTCTTTCTATATGAAATCAGTCACTAAGTCACCAATTTAATTGCTTTATCCTTGCTTTTAATATTTTTATGGATTTGATTTAGGTATGAGTTTGTAATGATCCAGAAATTTGACCCGTAAATCACAATGTCTTTACTGTAAAAATTAAATAATATCAAATAATCAAAAACTGAATTTCCGGTATTTCCAAATCAGTATCGATAAATTAAAAATGGAACAAATTAATGTGACCCCCAATACATTCGAAATTATATTATTTCCCCAGCGTGATGTCATCCTAACATCCGATCAATGAACTTTTTAGCGAGGCCAAATAATTAAATCGAATGATTTATGGCATTCTTGAACCAATGTATTTGACCCCCATAAATCAGGATATGGCGACATAATTATTCGATTTTTTTAAACTAAAAATGATAAAAATTTCATCATTATTTTTAATAATATCTAGGTCAATGGGATTGTCTTATTGATGGTAAAACGACCGCCTATTGACGATTTTGGGGGATAATTATTAATACTTTGCGGGGGGATCGATTAAATATAAATACCGCGGTTTTAGAAGTGGAAGTCAGTTGAGAGATGAGTTCGCAATCCTGTCCAGTTTGAGTTAAAATCTATAGTACCTAAAGTGTCAGTCCGAGAAAATATTCGCGGAAAGTTTCTTGTATTGCCTCGGTAACAGTCTTTGAAAAAGTAGCGGAAAAATTTTGAAAGAAAGAACAATTAAATTCGTCAACATTTATGTGCGTGCTAGCTAAAAAAATTGAGTAATCAATTAAGTAATTTTACGTGTGAAAAGTTAAATGTAAGTACTTTAGTGTTTAATAATTTTCTGACTTTTATCAATGATTCTGAATGATAAGAAGTGAACTAACAAATGACTTTTAATGCCTAAAAACTTGAGTGATTTTTACTAGAAAAACTTTTTGACTTTATAATTAACTGTAGAACTTTATTGCATAAATATCAATAACTCGAGTGTTTTGAAAATGGAACATTATTGCATAACTTTAATCAGATATAATGACATTCTAATTTAATTGTGCAAAGAAAATATGAAGGGAATTTATAATGCACTCAACAATATACAATTTTGAGTAGGAGTTATGAATTAAACAGTTGGGTTTATTAGCTAGGCTAGGAATCCGAAAATAGAATTGTTCTGATTTATTAAACTATTAAATGGAATAGGAAATTTTGAAAAGAAACTTGATGTTCATGAAATAGAATTGTTGTCTTGAAATATTGGAGAGTTATTAAAGGAAACTTATTATTCATGAAATGAGTTTTGAATTAGGGTTTTAAATTTCATGTAGAAATTATTGTAAGGTTTAATAAGAATAAGTTAGTAATACCTATATTAATAAACAAATAGGTAATTATTTTGGGTTTTTCATAAGCAGTCAGTAAAGGACTTAGAAATTTTTACTACAAGTTCAATGCTACCTCTATGGTTCAATGTGATGACACACGCTTGATGACTGACCATTGAAATTTGAACGTATTTTAAATATTTTATTAATTTGTGTCAATGTTACTTTTAAAAAATTAGATTATTTGATTCAATTTACATTATTTGATTTCATTTAAATTTACTGTTTTTGTATTTTGAGTCCTTGTAAATTACGGGCCTATTTTTCCCGGGTCATTATACTTCCATTTCTGAGCCTGAAATCCACTCGCGGTATGGTTTGTTGTTGAATTTGAAGTCCCTCTGATTCCTTGAAGTATTTTTCAGAAGCTTCCAAAGGTGATTTAATAGAAATTTTACTTGATTTTTTTAAAATAATTCCATTTCAGAGCCTAAGATCCATTCACTGTTTGTTCTGTTTGACAAAAAGACCGTACTTTAAAAATTCTGAAAGTTTGAAGTCCCTACTCCAACTGCTCAAATTATTTTTCAGAAGCTTCCAATGGTGATTTAATAAAAATATTACATGATTTTTTTGCATCTTAATTCTCGTTTCCGAGATATTTACCTGTAAAACGTGTTAGTTTATCCAAGAGGACACCCTGTACTAACCTAATAAATTTGATCTTAAATTATGAGTTTCAGATTTGAAAACCAACAAATTCGAAATCCTAAGCTCCCTAAACAATATTTCTGTCACTGACGATGGTACCTTGGATATTCTTTTAACGGAATCACCATATGTCCAATATATCCCAACAAGAAAAACTTTTGAAAACATCATAATCACCAATCCGATTAATTTACTTTATAAAATAAGAAATGCTAAAATACAACAATACAATCCGGTAACCATTGATGATAATTCTTATAAAATAAACACAGATGTTACTATAAATGGTCCTGGCAAGGTTACTGGATGGCTGAAAGCTCAAGATTTGAAACCAAAAGATGCTCAAAGAAGTTTTGGAGCAATTTTAGACAAAGGCCTAAAGCTTTCAGACACTCAAATTTCAGTCCACCTCAATTTCACTGAACCTCTCAACTTGAATCATACAAAAACTGACAAAGTAAACTCCTTAAATCCACTCGAATGGTTGCTGCAAGCCTCAAATACTACTCAAATAGTTAAAGGCTCAAAAACTTTTTTGAACAATGTTCACTTAAATGGACAAATGAATGCTTCTAGGATTAATGATGTGGACTTGCATGCTTTGAAGCACGAAGTATTAAAAATCGCCGGTGATCAAGAGATTTTTGGTAATTGGAATTTGAATAGGGTTGTTGCTGAAAAAGGGTAAGTTTTGCCTATAGACTGAGAGCAAATGATTGAAACCTTCCGTTTTTAGAATTTCAAGCAACAGCTCCTCAAACTTGTCAATGGAGGATATCATTGTAGTAAATCAAACATTAACTCTGGATCACTTAAACGTTACAAACCTTCAAATTAACGGCACGATTAATTCCAAAAATATGTCCAATGTACTTAGGAATTTTGTCAAAAAAGATGCAATTATTCACAAAGTGTTTGGCGAAAAAACATTTGATCAGTTGCACGTTGATGATTTGATAATTCAGGACATTAATTTATTGAGGCTATTGAATGATGTATTGAGCAATGAAATTAGTCTTAACAAATCCCTAGATCTTCCTAATGATGTTAAAGTTGATACATTAATGTTTGAGGAAAGTATTAGAAATTTATCCAAAGAGAATTTTGATGAATTAATGAATCTAACAAATTCCTATGATGATGAGGATACAGTCGTCATCACATCTGACATGGAATATGATGAAATTACTGTTATTGGTGATGTTTCTATTAACGACAATGCAATTAATGGAAAAAAATTGAGTGCCATTGAGAAGGACACAGTTAAAGTTGATGAGGATCATGAATTTGAGTCTGGAATAATTGGTAATAATATGTATTATTCAGTAAAGTATAAATATAATGGGCTCCTAATTTTTCCCTTTTTATTCTGAAAAGTTTCATAATTTTCCCTTAAGTAGTTTTCCAGAAAAATATCAAAATGTAAGAGATTGCATTTTTGCTTAGTGTAAATTTTGCAACTCGATTTTCATTCATTTCCTATGGTTTTTTTCAGTGAAGAAATTTGAAATTTTGGTATAGTGAGCTCCTAATTTTCATCTGTTTATCGTGTTAAAATATTACAAATTATACAATACACTGATACCATGATTTCCATGATAGTTTGCTATCAAGTTTTATAGGAAATTAGGTATTGATGTACTATTTTTTTTTAGTTGGGGCTACATTTGTCGACAAATTCTTAAACTTAAGCGGCAACATAGAAAATCTTGATTTGAACACCATTGTTGACCAAAACTCCAAACAATTATTGAAAATTGAAGATAAAATTTTCCAGAATCATTTAAACGTTAATGGTACATTGAGTATCAACAAAAATGTTAATGGAATAGAATTGAAGAAATTTTGCACATTTTCTGAACCAAATGAAAAACTGCAAACTTTGAAAATCAAAGGCAATGTCCTATTCAGTAAAGGCCCTAAAATACTCAATTTTAATGGTGAAAGTGTGAAGGGCTTAATGAAAAATGTATGGTTCAGTGATGTAGCTGCCAATATTTCAGCAAGTGTGCACCTGAAAAATGTAACTTTTAATAAATCGCTGAACGTTTCAGTAAGTAATTTATTTATTTGTATTTTCTTTTACATGATATTATTATTTCTAGGCATTTGTGGATTCAATAAATCTAGATTTGCTATCCGAAAACTACTTAAGCAAATCCAAAAATCAAATAATCAGTTCCTCTATTGCCTTCAGTAATGTGACATTTTTAAATATATCCACTCCAAGTCTTAAATACATGGGGCCAATCAATGGCATTGTAATCGAGGACATCCTTAAAAGAGTACTTATTCAAGGAGAACCGCAAATATTCGAAAGAACTGGTTATTTCGAGGAAGTTTTAGTTCAAAGTAAGGAATTGGGTGATTTCCATTTTGAATACTTCTTATTACTTACTCGGTTATTATTGTAACAAATATAATGTAAAATTATATATTCTGGATCAAAATAAGATTCAATTCTCTATTTTAAATACTTCTGAAGATATTGAGGCTCAAAGTTGAAACTTTACCTCAAATTTTGCAAAAGCTTCCAAGCGGATTATCTTGAAAACGAAGTCCTTGGGTTCGGAGTCTTAGATAAACTTTTTTGTAGCCCTTATTAAGAGCTACAATTGGGCAAAAGACTCATGCCAATAGCTTTACTGGTTTCCAAGATATGGCTCTTTGAAATATTTGGAAATCAAATTTCCATGCCCCTTTGGAAAAGTTCGAATTTTTAAATTTTCAGTTTTTCGAATTTTTGACTTCACCAATCGAAAGAAGAGGTTAAAATTAGTAGAAAAGCATTTTCGCAACTTTCCTTTTTGGGTTTTAAAGCCTTGTTAAAAAATAAAAACGATTTTTGCAATTTTTGCAATTTTTGGGCTCAAAAAATTTCAATAATATGACATTTTTTCACAAAATTGCTGATTACTTGGTTATTATTATAACAAATTTATTGTAAAATTATATATTCTGAATCAGAAATAAGTTAACTTCAAGATAAAATAAGACTCAATTCTATATCTCAAATACTTCTGAAGATATTGAGGTTCAAAGTTGAAACTTTACCTCAAATTTTGCAAAAGCTTCCAGGTGGATTATCTTGGAAACGAAGCCCTTGGGCTCGGAGTCCTGAATAGCCTTTTTTGTAGCCCTTATTAAGAGCTACAATTGGGCAAAAGATTCATGCCAATAGCTTCACTGTTTTCCAAAATATGGCCCTTTGAAATATTTGACAATCATATTTCCATATCCCCTTTGGAAAAGTTCGAATTTTTAAATTTTCAGTTTTTCGAATTTTTGACTTCACTAATCGAAAGAAGGGGTTGAAATTAGTAGAAAAGCATTTTCGCAACTTTCCTTTTTGGGTTTTAAAGCCTTGTTAAACAATAAAAACGATTTTTGCAATTTTTGGGCTCAAAAAATTTCAATAAGCTGACATTCTTTCACAAAATCGCTGATTACTTGGTTATTATTATAACAAATATACTTAATGTAGGTAATATTATATATTCTGAATCAGAAATAAATTATCTTCAAGATAAAATAAGATTCAATTCTATATCTCAAATACTTCTGAAGATATTGAGGTTCAAAGTTGAAACTTTACCTCAAATTTTGCAAAAGCTTCCAGGTGGATTATCTTGGAAACGAAGCCCTTGGGCTCGGAGTCTTAAATAACCTTTTTTGTGGCCCTTATTAAGAGCTACAATTGGCAAAAGATTCATGCCGTTTCCAAAATATGGCCCTTTAAAATATTTGGGAATCAAATTTCCGAGCATACTCCTTTGGAAAAGTTCGAATTTTTAAATTTTCAGTTTTTCGAATTTTTGATTTCACCAATCGAAAGAGGAGGTTAAAATTAGTAGAAAAGCATTTTCGCAACTTTCCTTTTTGGGTTTTGAAGCCTTGTTAAAAAATAATAACGATTTTTGCAATTTTTGGGCTCAAAAAATTTGAATAATCTGACATTCTTTCACAAAATTGGTGATTATTTGGTTATTATTGTAACAAATACAATGTAAAATTATAGATTCTGAATCAGAATTAAATTATCTTTTTTTTAGATTTAATTGAAGATGCTGAATACACAGTTAATAATCTGAGCTTTAATACTGATATAATGCGATACGATCAACAAAATATTGTCACGGGTCAAAAAACTTTTGAAAATTTAAGGGTGGAAACTTTGAATTTAACTCACAATGTAAAAATCCAAAAAGTTGATATATTAGATTGGTTATCTAATGCTGTGTTAACTAAAGGAGTTATCAGGGTCAAAGAAAAAAAGAGTTTCGACAGGGCTACATTCAGTCAAGGATTAAGGTAACTATAAGCAGTAGCTAGTTTTGAAATAATTTTTTCTTTAGTTTAAGAGGCAAGTTTAATGGTGAAGATTTCACTGAGGAGAATATCATGTTAGTCAATATGCCTCAAAATATTACAGGCAAAAAAATCTTCTCCAAGTCAACTCAATTCAAGACATTAATGGTCAAAGGATTGGTGAATAACATTGATATAGAGAAACTTGTCCAAAATCAGGTAAACATTATTATTTTTTCTACAATATATTTGATATTTCTTGTACCTATACAGACAAATCGTCATGAAAACTCTACAATCAACTCAGAAATTATTTTCGATAACGACGTTGAAGCTAAAAATATCAACGTTGATATTTTATATGATGATATAAATGTTACTCAGCTTATAGCCAATGTGACTAAACTTAGAAATTTAGATAGTCTTAAAGGCAAATTTAGGGATCTTTTAAATATGGGGATGGAAATAGAAGGATATTTGAAGAGTAAGTTAATACATATTTTGATTTTAGAGTTACTTTTTTCTATTTCTTGGCTGTTTTCTCTACAGTTTTCCTAATTTTTTTTTGTAGATCATGCAAAACTTTTCAAATACTACAAAGAAATAATTCAATTCCCTGCCGTCGACGACATTTTCGGCCTAAAATGCGATGATGGAATATTCAGGATCGTCGTATTTTGCGTGGCATCTAATCAATTCAAGACTTTTGAATGGGATGCTGAAAAGGGGACGTTTGTTTTCTCAGGTAAGTGCTGGGAGGTTTTAGTTCTCGTTCCTTAAAACTGCTTTTTTAGGTGTAATTTTTAAATCTCCGTCAAAACCCAACTTCATGCAACAAGTAACTCTTGGTGACCGAGCTTACCTTTACATTGAAAATCCTTTGCAAAATCACAGTAAGTAAAAAATTTCTTGTATATTATTTTGCTTCAAATCCTTCTCATTAGATCCCAAAAATTTCAAATACTACCGCCCAGTGGGTTTTGAGTAAAAAAAATCAAATTTTTTGGTAAAACTATTTTATTATTTCTTGTAGATGAACTTCATTCTGGTCGTCTCATCAAAGTTCTCAGCCCAACAACATTCGAAATAGTGGCAGAATTTCATAGAACCGCAACAATTTCGTTAATTTCATTTGTAAATTTTGCAAGACAAGGTTGTTTAGGGTTTATCGGAAATAGTTTGTCTGGAATCGATATCTTATGCGATGAAAACGGTTACAACTATTATTGGTCCCAAAGGATTAGGTTGGAAGGAGCTTACAAAGTAAAAATAATTTGGTTTTTAGTACATAAAGTATCCAGTGTTTTTTAGGCTACAACTCTGGAAACACCTGACTCTGTATATCTATTTGTGACAAGATATGGACGAGCATTTAAAGAGCCTTCTATAGTGATTTTCCAAAGTGGCAAAGATACATCAGATTTTATAGAAATACAAACGATTTTTGAAAGAACAAGCCCAAATGGTAAACATTTATTTTTGTTCAAAAATTGGATTAAAAACATTTATTTTTTCTAGGATTGGCAACAGCTTTCATCAGCAATTGCCCTTTTGTAGCACTTTCGTTTGGCTCCCAAGAAGAAACAGTAGATTCTGGATGGATTTCCATTAAAAAGTATGTATTTCTTTTAAACACAAAAATTATATTATAATTTGATTTGTTTCAGGCTTGATAATAACCAATTCATTGATTGGCAACACATTCCTTTAACGACACCACAAAATGTCCATTTTATAAACCAACCTTCATTTGAACCTTTAATTTTGGTACCTTCGGCTGATGTCAGCGCACCTTTACACACTTTCCAGTAAGTGAATTTGTTGAAATTCATAAAACACCAAATTTTTTTTGTAGGTACGATGGTGCCGCTGGATTCAAAGAAATTTCAAAAGGATCATCTTTGCCAGTGAGCTCTAAAATTAAAATTTTAGGAAATGGGCACTTTTTGGCTACGTTGCAGCACACTAGGGGTACTGGTACTATTTTGGGTGCCGTTGTATTGTAAGAAATTAATGTTTGTTTTGTTGTATTTATGTTTGAATCTCGGTTTGAATATATATTTTATTAATGAATCGCTTCAAGGAATTTTATTCAATTGAATCAGGAAACAGGAACTATCAGGTTCAAATAACTACATGATTCAACCTTATTGTTTAAGGCGTCATGTTTTTCAGAGCTTCCAAACATTTGATGATGGTGTCATGCAGCTGTTTTATTTTTGATGCTGATTCCTGCTGAATCGCAGGAATATCCAAGATTCTGTCTATCAATTTTGAGATGATGTCTCTCATTGCTGTAACGATCGCTTAGGATTTGCCATGCTATCTGATAGTTGATGTCTGAAATTTGGAGATACTGTAGGACCCTGCTGGCTTCTCCTCGAATATGGGTTTTGAGGTACCTACTGCATCTTCTCAATCTGCGTCAGATTTTTGTTTTCATGGAACACCTTCCTGAAGATGTCCGGAAAGTTACCCATTCTTCATACTGACTATCGAAAAATGGTAACTTTATCTGAGGAAGACTGATACTGCATAATTTTGGTGCTTGAGTCGGAATATCCTGGCCTCGGATTTCGGATTCCAATGTTTCCAGAACATCTTCATATTTGAGCTCGATTTCTTGGAAGGGATTCTTAATTGTTTTAGAACGGCCCTGAGCTTGTAGTTCAATGTATATCTCGGAGATGGTCTCCCAATGCTTTGAAATTTTGTTGTATAATAGTTGATAACGACTGATTTATTTCTCCACCTGCAAATCATTCATGATTTTGTCTATACTTTTTCAACTTCAAATTGGGATCAATTAATTTCAATTTGGAACGTAGCACTTTCAAATTTAAGGAACTGCGAACGCTAACACACCAAATCGAAGCCTGTCTCAACTCCATAGACCAATATGTCCATTATCTAATGATCCAAAAAACCTAGCAGTACTTACTCTGGGACATTTTTTGATTGGACCGGAAGTAATCTCACCTCCAGACCCAGTCACGACGAACATCAACTCAAACCTCAATGAAAGATGGAAATTGGTAAAAAATCAAATGCGACTTCTGGAAAAGCTGGTCAAACAACTATCTACACCAACTTCAACAACGATACAAGTAGAAACAGTCCCAAGAAGCACTAAAAATGGGAGAATTAGTTCTTATCAATGAAGATATCAATCCTAGTAGATGACCTCTTGCTAAAATCATCCAAGTGTTTCCTACAAGCGATAAGTCCGTTCGAGTAGTCACTGAGGAAAGCAGATGGACATACTTTACATATATTAATTCCAATTTCCATAATACAGTCAACTCAAGAGAGCGAACAACATGGAAACTCCAAATCCAAGAAACAACAAAACAAACCGCGAAGCATTCACCTGTGGAAAATTGCTATGATAGCCATTCTGTTTATGAACACTTTACAGAGTGCTATTGCGTAAAATTACACAATTCATGATCCATCAGAACCCGGCATATTCATCGAACCCATCGGACATGCTAATATTGACAGTGAAAATTTCAGAATCGAAATCAAATTTGAAAAGACAAGAATATCTTACGACACTTCCAACGTCTCCCTAGCAAACCTACCAAGGAAATCATCATGATTCCCTATGACGAACAAATTATTGATGTCTCCGATCAACTGTCTCATCTTCGGAGTGAAGATCAACAAGTACAAGACGTCAAATGGACTCAAGTACACCATCATCTAATTATTAGTAGCTCCATAGTACTACTAATACCGGGAGTTATTGCAATGCTTCTAATATGGTTGTATTTGCAAAGAAAGAAATCCAGTAGGCACAATACCCACACACCAGGACAAGCCTTGGCTGACCAAACGTTTAGCCTTAGAGCCGTTATAGTACAAGAGCCAGTGAAAAATAATCCGGCTGATTTTAATATGGCTGAAAAATTTAGGAAATGTAGAATCAATCATGAACAATACGAAATCACCTGCCTGCCTGCTCGTATCGGTTGGGTTTATTAATAAAAAAATGTTTAACGAGGTTTTGTAAAAGCAAAAACCGACTCATCGCGTTTTGCATGAAAATTTGTGTGAACATATAGTTGGGGAGCTGGCGTCAAAAACATGCAAGAGTTTTCTCAAGGCGGATATTTTCAAAATAGGTCGTACTTTAGTGTTAGAATGCTAGTTTACAGTCAGCACTCACAGTTTCGGGACAGCTGGCCCTGGGACGCGGGCAAAGTTGTAATTTTAAGAAGCATCTAAACTGTTTTCTCAAAGCTCAAAATTTATAGAAATTTTGCACATTATCTGTTTGAACGTCACAGATAACGTATGTAAATCGTCAGACGTCTAGTTCGTTGCAAAAAGGGGGTCAGACGTCCTCAAAGTTTTTATTTTATGGCATTTTCTTCAAATATATTTGTCAAATACCTGCAAAAATATATTTTGACAGGACACCGAAGAAAATGCCATAAAATAAAAACTTTGAGGGCGTCTGACACCCTTTTCGCAGCAACCTAGACGTCTGACGATTTACACACGTTATCTGTGACCTTCAAACAGGTAATGTGCAAAATTTCTACTAATTTTGAGATTTGGAAAAACAGTTAGATACATCTTAAAATAACAACTTTGTGCGCGTCCCAACGCCAGCTGTCCCGGAACTGTGAGTGCTGACTGTACACTAGCCTTTTATGACTTAAGTAGGACCTATTTTGAAAATATCAGCCTTGAGAAAACTCTTGCATGTTTTCGACGCCACCTCCTGGACTAATAGAACGAACACCCGCAAGTATGATTTCGAATGCCTGTCTACCTAAATCAGTTGCCAAATAGCGCCTGTCAAATAAAAATCGACTGAAATTTTTCTAAAAATTCGACTTATCGCGTTTCGAGTGAAAATTAAATATATCACAGTTAAGGACATTAGAAGAACATTTCTGACTGCCTGCCCGATCAAAGCCGTTGCTTTCAAATGCCTGCCTGGTCCCAAAGTTCGCAAAGTATAAAAATATGCCAGGTGGAATACTCAAATTCACAAAATAAAAACACATGGACCGTGCCGACCTAGAGATGCACAAATAACAATAATTTCGTTGCAATGTTGCCAGGCTTTTTTGACGACTTCCCTTCAACTGAGTGACAAAAATCCTTCAAAACACTGGCGGTTGGCCGGCACCACCAACTATTGACAATTTCGAAAATTAAGATCTGGACGTCATTTGAGGATAAATTCTGCACTCGATTTATTAATTTGTTGTTGTTTCTTTTGGTAAATATTAATAGAAACAATTCAAAACAAGTCTGTTATTTTTATATAAACATTGTTCATGATCAAAATAACTCGATTCCAGTGGGTGAAAAATCTGTATCATAATGAAGGTCATTATGAAACAGATGTTATCGACTCTATAATTTAAGTAATTAATAAAATCACGATTTAATTTCGGTGATAAAGGTTGATCTATTTATGAAAATTACAATAAGCTTTTTCAAGAGAAAAGAAAGAAAGTCTTTATATTAGCTGCCTCCGATGAAGGGTAACAGCTTAGTGTTCTCATAAACACCTCAATCGTCCAAGGTTCCCATGGTCTTTTTGCCTGCGCTTGGGTACTTTATGACGTCCATAAATCCATAATCCATCTAGGTGTACTGTCGTCAAAGTTTTCGACGATAACACAGATTTTAATCGTTTAGAAGCGTATTATGAAACGTCAGTAGAAAAAATATTATTTCTACGAGCGTGCAGAAAAGTGGCTTTTTTTCGCACTGAGTACGGAAAAGTAATTCCTGAAATTTTTAGGTATACAGGTATACTACAGGTACAGGTTCGAAAAAGTGAGAAAAAATATCTTAAATTGATGAATATGTTGGTAAAAATATTAACTTTTATCTCGTAGAAAAAATAGTGTTTCTAACTCGTGCGGAAAGTCTCTTTTCCGCACTTGATTGCAATCGCGTCCGGAAAAGTGATACTTTCCGCACTAGTTAGGAAATATACTATTACCAAATAAAAAAAAACACTACCTATACCTAACATGAATTCGCAAAGCGGAAAAGTAACTTTTGAAAGAAAAATTTGTGTAACAAAATTCTGACAATTGACACAAAATCTCCATTTTCAAGCAGTCATTCACCAATGCTACAGGGTGTTTGTTTATAGCTGGAACACTCAGTAACTTTTTTATTATTGAAAATAGAGGTCATGCATAAATTGGATTTCTTGGTTAATTGCAACGATCTTAATCACTACAACGATATTTTTTTGCGCCATAGGTATACAGAGTGCGGCAAAAAAGTCATTTTTCTTAATGGATTGCCCTGTATGTTTTTGAATTTTTAAAATTCTAAATAATTAGCTTCACAAAAATTTCAAACACTATTTGGATAACAAAAATTCACAGGACGTTCCATTGAAAAAAAATAGTTTTTTAACGCACCTTGTATACCTTTACCAAGAAATTTTCCAACTTGAACGTGCACTCTATTTTCAATAATGAAAAAGTAACTGAGTGTCCCAGTTATACACTAACACAAAGTCCCAGTACCAGATCTGAGAACTTTTGTCTCCAGTGACTTCACCTGTAACCGACTTGGCAATGGCGTCGAACACTCATCCCAGAATCCCAGCAGCACTAATATTACCAGCTTGTTGAAAAATCATTATCAGTATCTATCTAGGTATAATAATAAATAAATGTCGATTATTTAAAAATGTGTGTATATGTACAATATAATATGTTTAATAAAAAAAAACCCATATTTTCTTTGTGGCCTACTTTGCTAAGGTCGTAGAAAAAATGTTGATCCTAACTCAGGCATAAAGTATTTTTTCTACTGACGTTTCATAATAGCAACTTTTCGATTGTCATTTCAGTTTTGAAACGACATTCTTTTAGGCACTGAGTGCGTGAAAGTTACTTTTAGGCACTCAGTGCGTAAAAGTGACTTTTGAATGCGTAAAAGTGACTTATGAGTGCGTAAAAGTAATTTTTAAGCACTAGTGCCTAAAAGTGTCATTCATTATTCAGAAATAAAA